GGGGGGGGGGGGTAATACTTCTATAGTAATAAATATAAGTATATCCGTAACCACTTGTTGGGGGACGAATGCCGCCGGGGTGTCCCGAGTGCGGTTGCCATAAATTCGCATGAAGAAAATGGCCAAGGGAGGCCTGTAAATAATAGGGATGGAAAAAGCTGGCGACGATTTGGCAATGGGCAAGCACGAGCGATTCTGAGGGCAGTATATATACACATGTATATACATCCTTGGAATTCGCGGAATCGAGATAACTATTAATCATGGGGTGCATGGGTACATGTTGTTACGGGGAGGAATAGAAGGATGTGGGACAATGGAGCATGAGAGAGATTCGTTCCAATCGTGGCACGTCGCCAGACACAATGCCCTTAAATATATGGCCAATGCATTTTTGCCAATTTTAAATTGCGCGCATTTTCGTTATAGCGTTTCGATATTTTTACATATTTTTAGAAAAATCTACGAGACAAATATTTTCACGTATTTGAATATGCCTTTTGGATACATAAGTTTGGTATATATCTACTAGAAAGATGAAAGAAAATCGGGCGGCTATTTTCAATTGGATATTATATCTCTTCTCTTCTTTTTTTGTTCATAACTTCTATCAATGTTTCACCGATATTCTTATTTTATTGCTCAGAGTTACTGCCCCGGTATTGTGCCTGCTGAATTGTATAGATGGAATTTATTTAAAGGCATGTACCATATACTGTGGAGGTGTATATATGTACTTGTGTATACAGAATAGAAGTAGAAAGAAATATATGAGAGTGTAGTCTCATTCATTGTGAGAGAATATTTTATGTGCACCTACACACATACATATATAATATATATTCATTTTTCAGCAATAGATTAGATTGTAGATTAGATTTTTATTAGTTGTTCTTGCCTTATTAGGCTTAAGAATCTTACAACCATTCAACAATATTAAATTTTCGCTTAACTTAACTTAGCTTCGGTAATGCAATTCCCTACATCCTTTGATTTTTTCACTTAATACTAATGACTCGCTCTATCCCCGTCCCATCACATTCTCCCATAGCTCTATTTGCCCCTTCGTCCTTGCAGTTCTTTCAAATATCCTGCAATATTCGCACAATTTCACCCTTACCGACCCACCCAAAATTTGCATCCATTGCGTTCGGGCGCCCTCTCCTCCATCCAAAATTCCTTTCACCTCCATCCTCAAATCCGCTTTTACTACTCTTTTAAAGTCTTTACATTCCAATATATGCTCAAATTTTTCTTTCTCCGCTGTACACAATCTACATTTAACGTCTCCGTACCCTATGTTCCCCGCCTGTTCCACGTTACCGCACCTAATTCTCGCCCATTGTTCTTTGTCCTTGAGATTCGAATTGTGCTCGTCCGAATATTTCTCATATCCCCTCGCACCTGTCCATTCGCTGTACTCTGGACCGTACCTCGATGCGTCAATTCGATTCCAATCCTCCTGCATCGTTTGATCCTCAGCTGTTTTGCATCCTTGATCCATCCTTATTAAAAGTTCTCGCGGTTCTCTCCCTTCCCTCAGGTCACGCAATGTTTCCCCATCCCCCACTTTTCTTAATGGCATTTCCACTTCCTTCATCCACTTCAATTCCTTCCCATTTTCCCAGTTTCTCAATTCTTCTTTGAGACATATTTTTGACCAACGGTCGTCTTCTATCTTGAGAATTTTTACGAGATAATTTGAAGCTCTCTGCCAGGCTTCCACTTCCGATTTCTGCCTGCCCGTCTCCATCCGTCAAATATACGCCGTTGTGCATTTACTCACACCCAGCATCATCTTTGCGTATCTCCCTACCATTTTTTCAATATTCTGCCTCTCTTTCCTTCCTCAAATATCGGCGTCGTACATAAGAATCGTTCTGACCATCATGTCCATTAGGTATGCTCTTCTTTTTAGGTTTCCTATGTTTGCCCTATGCATATTCCCCCAAACTGCATTAGTAGCGATCTGTGCCTTACCCGCGAGCTTACTAAAGTGCTTCGTGTACGAGTTTTTTACCGTATACGTGAATCGTAAATACTTATAGACATCCACTTCTTCGATTTCACTTCTCCCATATTTCCCAACCTCCCCCTTCTTTCTCCTTCCGCCGTTCTTGAATACAAACACCTTTGTTTTCGTCACATTAACTTGCATCGTGCTAACACCCACAGCATCCCATTCAGCCCTCCGCGTCCTCTGCTACCACAGCCACGTCATCTGCAAACTTCAAAGCGAAGATCTTTGTCCTTCCGACCAGTATACCTCCTTCATTTCTCCTCTTCCATTGTTCATCCAAGTTGTCTTTTTCCAGCAATAACGAAAGTTTATTTTAGTTATATACTGTGACGTGATTTTTCGAATCACGGTCCCAAGGCGGCTCCGGATGCCTTAGTGCAGCGCTCCCCAGAGTGCCCTTTGGATCCAGTTCTCGGCCTCCACGGATTAGCTGTACCAGCTCCGGTGAGGATTCCCAATTTAGTAATTGGTGAAGGGATCTCGATAGACAATTAAGATTCGTTCTGATACGTTCTCGGTTCGTCGCTCTCCGTCTCTCGCACTATTTGCCGAACTCTTACTCCGACCCTCTCTACCTCAAACCTAGCAGCCTGAGCGGCCGTGCATTTCCGTAACCGTCCGCTCCCGTTCGTGTATCCAGTTGCGTTTGCTGATTTTACGCGACCCCAAAGATCAGCACCTACGGTTGCGTTTCTCGATTTTACGCGTCCCCAAAAATGGACAGGATCCGTTAAGCTATCGCCTCGTCTGATAGGTTCCGTCAGAGCTCTCGTTCTTGATGGAGTTGGGCCTGTTCCACCCCAACTCCCAGTTTATACCGGCTCGTCAGTTCCCGGTGAAAAAATAATTGACTGGCGCCCGCCTGGCTTGCGGATGCACGAACGACGGGTGGACGGCCGAAGGTAACGTAGGTTGGTTCTCGAAGATAGTCGTTCTCGCGTGTTTTGCTATCGGTGTCGGATCATAAGGTAAAAGAATTACGTTACAATACATATAATTGAATTTCAAATAAATTAATTTTTATTACTACGCGAAATTCGTTGCTCATTCAAATAAGTAATTAAAAAAATATTTTAAAAAATGGCGAATAAAAAAATTGCATATCTATCAATCGCAATTGCTTCCATTTATGTTTTGTGTAAAATGTTTTATTACTTTTGTTCTTGAAAAATCAAAACTGTGAAGTTCTAACGGTGTACTTGTCCTTAGACTAAAATGCGATAGTCATTTACCATCGAGAATGATTACAGATGATCATTGCAGCATTGCAGATGCACATATACAGGGTTATTCACGAAAAACCTGAAGTTAGTCTGTTCATTTGATTGCTATGGTAGAACCAGCTTCGGGTGGTCTCTTTCTCGCGAATAACCTTATACAGGTTTAATAATTAGTAACTGCTATTTTATTATAATAAGAATTGTTTTTTAAGGGCAGTGAATAATTTATATAATACATGGTACGAGATTTTAGTAACCATCTACGTAAGATCAATCCTCATGAACTTTGACCTTAGATATAGGTACCAAATTTTATGATATTTCAACGCGTTAAAACTCAGCAATACCACTGGACGGTGCCGATTGAAATTTCTAGTGTTTCTGATTGGGAAAGCAGCCAGGAACCCAGTCGGCTGCCATCGTATTTTATTTAATAGACTCCGCTCACATCGTACTACATTACATTGCATACAATATAGTGCGGTAATAGTGCAATACATCATGCTATATGGTGAATCGTTAAAATTTCTACGATAGGCAAATTTCAATTTGAAATATATTCCAAAATTTATGCAATCACCGACGACCACGTGGCTCTTTTAGATTCTGGGCCAGTTTCGGGAGGCCGGTTTTCGCAATCGCTTGAAGTTTGCTTTGGACCAGAAAAAATTCAATGAATCACGCAAAGAGAGAGTGACGGCTTGACGTGGTGGAATTCGCAAGTTGTCAGTCGTTCGAATACGAGAAACGGAAATGTCCGCGCGTGGGTGGAAATCCGGCCTCTTTGAAATTCACTATTTTGTTTAAGGATCGATAAGAAGATACGCTTTTTCTGTTTACATCACGTTGAGAATCCGCTTTAGTCGGATGAATTTATTTTTCGATCTAATCGTGATATTGTGTGTCGACACTTTGTTATGTCTATCTTTTTGTATATACAAAGTTGCCGTTGCAAATTCGTCTTTCAACTTTCAGTCGTCTGCACTTCGTTCTCAGTCGCCGTTGCTGCTTGTTTTTCAAGTGGCGGGTGTTTTTCTTAAAGTGCAAAAATATCACGCAAATCAAGTGATTTTCTTAAGTGCAGTTGTATGCAAAATTCGAACTTTCATGCAACAATTCAAAATTGGTATACGGTGTTTTTGTTTTCGTAAGCGTTTCAAAAAGTCGTTTGATATGATTAATTGTGGCTCCTTCGTACGTGATCTTCTTTTACCATTCATCCCCCACTATCCTCACCTTCTATCATCAAGTGCTAATAAAAGTTCAATTGACATTAACAAATCGGTAAATCGCGTATCGACTAGTCTTGTAGCTCGAGGGAAAAAATTCTGAATAGTATGAAGCGCGTGTCGTGAATACCGTATAAGATGCCATTGGCATAAAATTTGTTTACCGTGAGAAAATTTCAAGTAACTTTCGCAGTACAGCTATTCTCAAAAGATACATATCTATTTCTACTTTTGATGGAATTTTTAATAATAGTCGGTTCTTATACACGTGGATGTTAATATCCACGTATACCTATGTAATATCATAGTATATAGGTTATGTATGTGTATGCTCGTTTTTAAACTCTTTATAAAATACAATGAAAGCTCGTTTTAATTTTGATTCTCGAAATTTCGAGTAGTCGCGTTTGCTCATTAGTCAGACTAACGAAGTAGGGAAAAGCCGTAACATAGGCGTCTCAGATATTATTAGCGAGAGTTTTGGGTTCCAATGAAAGGATATTAGATATACATAGTAATAGTATGTACGTAACAAGAGTCAAATTTTGTTGACGGCACTGTACCACAAATTAGTAGACGCTTTGGTCTGCATCCATGTGGAATTAGAGTTGGGATAGAATTTAGGTTGTTGGCCAAGGATATATTAGACATTTATAATTCTAATTAGACTTCTGATAGATTAGTCTTCATTTTTTTTAATAATTTGAAAATTAACAACTTTTAGCAAAACTTTGCTTTGGAAATCTCTTGCTTGTTATCGTCATTACTATACATTAATTTAAAAAGGGATCATGGACATTATATATATTAAAGATAAATTACAAAATATATTTCAGGGATGTAAAACCTGCATCAAAACTGTATAGCACATCTATAAAACAATTTCCGTTCGTTGATTCACAGAGATACTGAGTTTCCATACTCAACCACGCGTGTACATAATGATTCGTACATATATCCATATGGCAAGAAGAAAAAAAACGTAAAACAAAGGATGGGTGTATGGCAAATGTTAGAATAAATGGCTACAAGGATTTTTGATTATTAATAAAAAAAAACTTCTAAAAAATGATCAACTTACCCGCAACTTGATCCTCCGTGAGACCATATTCAGACTGAAAGAAGATAAAATAAATTATGTCTCTTGGTTATCACACCAAACATGAATGCAATATAAAAATGTTGTTTTTGTCATGTAGTACACTGCAAAAACGATGCACTTGTAGATGAGAGTTATAGCAATTATCATATTCGATAGAATTAATTGGAACGGCACCAGTAGCACTTTTATTCATAAATTATACGGTCTTCGATATCGAGACGCTGAATATTTAGTGTGTATAGTATTGTATATGCAATTAGATTATAATTGCACGTAATTAATTATAATTACGTTCCCGATATGCGCTAAGATAAACTCACGGAGAGGTTGCGTATATGAAAGTCGATTTGATTGGTGAGCCGCCGAAGTTTGCAATACTCGTGAGTGTACCTCTTATGATCGGCCATTATAGCGTTAGGCCACTAGGGATGAAAACACCACTGAAAGTAAGAATTGCCAGGTCTAACTAGCAGTAGGTGAGCCAGTAGGCTGGTGGGCTAGAATCTGGCCAATTGCCTACCACGAAGAGGTCACTTCCCGTATTATTAATAATGTCTGGCGCGATATTAGCAACGATGAGAGCGTCGTCCGCGTTCGATAAATAACGATGTACAAGCATGAAAAAAAAATAGGAAAACTGAATTGGTGAAAAAGAGAGACGAAGTGATGACGTGAAAATAAAAGTAAAGAAGAGAACAACGAAAAGAATGAAGAAATTTAATAGCACCACCTACTTCCGGCTTGCTATAAATAAGCTGACAGATGTGAGGTCCGACGTTTACAGGTTTCACGAGCGCAAATCGGCCACAAGACAAAATTTTCCATTTTATAGCAGACTAATAAAGGCAAAATACTCGGTCTCATATTAGTGTTTACGTAATTTAGGTGGTAAAATTTATAATAAAGTTTTAAGAGAATTTAAGTCACAGGTTGAATTGGTTACTATCGTTTCGTTTTGATGTTTCATCTATAAAATAATATTTGTTTGACTACCCACGATCTACGGATCACTTACGCTGATCTGTCTGATTTGGCCATCGATCTTGCTGGTAAGTCTTCTCAATCTTCCGTACTCGTGCGTGTACTTCTTTTCCGTGCACGTGCCTTCCGCCATTTTCAAATTAAAAACTCCCGCGAAAAATCTAGAGACTTTTCCAGTAGGTAGACAACACACTGATAATATGTTAATCAAGTTTGTTCCGTATCGTAATAAAATTCTATCAGCGCAATACTTGAGGCAAATTACACAGTTGAGCCGCTGAAGGCGAAGTCGCCGGAATCTTTTATCGCGCTAGCCAAAGGTAATACTCGTAGACTCGTGAACGGTTGAGCGTCCGATATTTTGTCTAGAGTAAAATCAATGTTTATCTTCCGTCGGCCGTAATTCGGGATTAAATATTTAAATAAGAATCTGGGAGATTCTATTTGGGAGCGGCGTACCGTCGTACGTAGTGTCGGTGGAAAGTGACAAAAACGTAAAAAGTTCAAAGTCACAAAGATAAAACGGAAAAGCCAGGTGCAAAACAGTGACGAAAATAGAGAGGTTAGATCCAATTAGAGGAATAAAATTCACGTTTGTCAACCGCCACTGTACTCCATATCACTTGTCATAATTCGTCACAGAGCTCTTCTTTACGTTAAACTCGAAAATGATAAAGATGCCTGTCTTCGTGTAGCCTTCGGCTGTTTTTAAACTGGGCCGAGCGACGCGATTGGTCGGCACTCGCGCAGCTTTGTGTCCCTGTCGTTATACATGTCGATTCACACTGGCAAATACCAAATGGTCACTTTCACGCGAAGCTTCTCTGTCTATGTCTTTTTCTATTCGTATATTCGGTGTGCAGATGCCTTAATACGCTGCTTGGTTGTCTCCTCGTGTTTTTATACACACCGAGTGTAGTGTGTTCTGTGATTCTGTAGCTCTCAACACAAATTTTGGACTTAGTTCAACAATGTGCATATATGTGTAACTATATATACTTCTACTGCGTATGTAATTATTAAAAAAGTTTCTTCCGTCTATTTACTGCTCGCATGATGAATAATATGCCAATTACGTATTACATATAGGATTATTCAGGAGTATTGCATCAATTTAAGTTAGCTTCTCTATTTAATTTCTATGGTACAACCACTTTCAGGTGGTACAATACACTTGAATAACTAGTAAATATGATACCCATATTCATTTGATAAGTTAATTACACAGTTCGATATTGGTTCTTTGATATTTTTGGAATTCTATTTATCTATGCTTATTAAAATTTAAAAAATTTACAATATTAGGATGAAATTCCTACTAGAGGGGAATGAAGATCAAAAGCTTTGGGAAGAATTAAGATGTCGCCACTTTTCATGGATGAAGTAGCTCTCGTTATTATCGACGGCACTAGATATCATGTATTCGTAGGGAGCATCCCAGTTTCACACAGCGAACTCCACCCGGAATAACTGTACACGCAAAACTATAGACGATTAGCTCTACACGTTTACCTATACATGGACTACATCGAATAAGAGGAGATTACCATTTCTTCGGCCTCTTGATTTAACAATTGTTTATGGTTGTATTTCTTACGAGGAATAAAATAGCGTGTGAGGTTCATTGCTCTAACTGCTATAGTTTCTCGAAATATGACGTGTTACATTTAGAAATAAACAATATGAATTTTTAAATAATACTTCGATTTCCAAAGCGCCAGTTAGTTTGACGGTTTTTCTTGTTATTATCTTTGAATTTGAAAAGAATGGTGCAATAATTATTATATTAGTACGTTTAGTTTAGAAACTTTGGCAAAAATGGAGCAATAATAATTCAGGGTATTGCATTATTATTGATACTGATGGTGTTTTAGTTAAAAAGAATCGTTCGACACAATATTGTAATGCTGGGATAAGCCCCGCCAGCGATATGTAGGGGCCAAACTACTGTTGATCATTTGCTTGGGTATCAGTTGTTTTAGGATCAATTGAAACCACTACTGTGAATTTCCAGCTGAAAGATTTCATGTCGCGGGAATTGGAGTAGTTAGTGTAATGAGCTTCATACACTATTTGGTTTCTCCTAAAAATAAAAACACAGACAAATTTCAAGTTAAGGAGCCAAAGAAATCATAATATCCCCTTATTCCATGTAGAGTTGGGCCATGTAAAACTGGATCCCACACATTTTCGTAAGAACGTTCCGTGACGGCCCCTTTTCTTACGTTTGACGCGAAACGATAGAGCGCACGCGAGGTATATGACGTTCCTGCATGGGTTTTCAACGTGAAATATTAATTAGCTTAATTAAGGGAGTGCCTCCGACATAATTAAGCTCGTTAGACTCACGTGTCGTGACTAGAGACGACCAGGCACCGATATTCATTCATAAATCATAAACGTTTACGTGCTCGCACCGTCATTTGCTTCGGCACGCGCAAGAATAGTCGTTATGAACTTTCATTAGGATTTGCAGAGAGTTTCCTTATCGACGAACCAGTAGTACCATACAGTACCTACGTTTAACCGTCTTGCTAAAACTTTTTTTATACCGTATTACCGCCTTCATCTGGATAAATTAATTTCTAATTTTTAATTTCAGCATAATATACACATAGAACAGAATTAGGTGAATTACTACATATAGTAAATAGAATTAGGTGAATTATAATTTTGTCATATGGAATCTGGACAGTTTTTAATTTTGCTATTTTATCATGTTTAAACATACTGTTTTATACTGATGTTCAACTTGTATTTTGATTACCTAATTACTCACCAAATTGATGGTAACAATTAAGTCGTACTGCTGACGCTGTCCCTTCTTCTTATTCTTTCCAGTCTTTACGGATGCTGCCTTAGGTGTGACTTTAACTTGTCCTTTTTGAGCAGTTGGCTTCTGCGCCGGTTTCGTAGCAGTTTTCGCTCCTGCCACGGCTTTCTGTCCTCCGGTTAATGGGGCTTTCTGTCCCGAAGTGCCTTTCTGATTCACGTGTCCCACTCCGTCCGCTGGTTTGTTGCGAGCCTGCGCAGAGTATTGAACTACATTAGAATCGGATTTTTCATGATTTTGGCCCTTTTCACGTGCTCGTGCTCACTACGACTTTCTAAGCAAGACCAAACAAGTCTTTGGACTTAATTATGTTATTATAATTAATCACTTTAATATTCTGTTAAGAACTTTTGTCACTTTATACATAATAAGTATGTATAGGTATACTGGTTCGGAGGTCGTTTTATGTAGATAGAGATTTTGAATCTTCCACGAGACTTCAAAATTTTTACTTCTTTTCACTTTAATAAATGGCTTAAGGGGGAGTCGATGACTAATCTGATTAAAATGATGATTTACAAATTCCATTTTGTACATGTCAATTTATACATAGTTACTATTCATTTTCTTTTTTCCTGGAAATGGAATACATTTTGTAAAAGACTTTTGAAGTATTACCATAATCGCGATAAAGCCTTCTTAAAATAATTCTGGATGAAAATTCGAGAGAAATAAAGGAACAAGATTCTTGAAAAATATACTTGCTTAGTATAAAGACCTTCCGATTTTTTTTAAAACCACTCGTTACACACTTCTTATGTAATTATTTAAACACCCAATACTTCATACTACTTTACATTTTACCTGGTTTTATTCAGCCCTGCTCAGCGTACGCCTAGAATATCAAGTTTCCTCGTGTTTCAAAAAAAATGTCGATTACTTCACAGTAACCCGCACAAAAATAATTTATAAATAATTATATGTTGGATATAAGTCGAATATATATCAAATTCAACATATATGTACAGTGAATGTAATTTCAAATATATTTCACATATATATTTACACATATAAATTGATGCATATATGCGATAAATATTTGTAGCCTATATATTAAATATACAGGGTGTCCCAAAATTACCTGACCAACGGGGTATGGTGGTGTTCGGGAGGCACCACTGATCACGAAAATGACCTTCCTTTTTTCCGGAAGGTCATAGTTTTTAAATAGGAGCAGGTCAAAGTTGACCAATCAAAGCGAGGTGTCAAGAGAAACGTTTGCACCTACGAACTCTGAGTTTTCGTCCCTCGCTTTTGTTTCTCGGTGGCTTGTTTCTTGTTTCTTGTTTCCAATAGGCATATCTTCAGCTGACGTCATCCTGCACGAAACCACCGAGAAACAAAAGCGAGGGAAGAAAACTCAGAGTTCACTCAGGTGCCTACGTTTCTCTTGACGCCTCCCTCTGATTGGTCAACTTTGACCTGCTCCCATTTAAAAACTATGACCTTCCGGAGAAAAAGAAGGTCATTTTCGTGATCAGTGGTGCCTCCCGAACACCGCCATACCCCGTTGGTCAGGTAATTTCGGAACACCCTGTATATTTAATATATATGTCGGCTCATATATCGATCAATGTATATGTTCACATTTTGGTTTATATATAACATACTTAAATACAATATATATTACATATATTTATGTATATGTACTATATTTATACCAATATTGATTCGTATAATCATTTCACATTTAATCCCATTGTGTTTAATATAAATAATTAATTGTATTCTGTTTTGTCGTTTCTGTGTATATGTACCGGTCCATAATGCACGCATACGTATATGCATATATATTGTATCTTATATTCACAGTAGAATATGTACACTCATATAAACAAATTTATTTGGCATATAATTTGTATATAGTTATTGTACAAATAATGTACATTTTTACATACAAATTAAATGTATATCACATATAAACGTGAACATATGTGTCGACATATATTTTCAATTACATGTAATATATAAAATATTTTCGTGTAGGAACTAGCCGTTTTCTCGCGGCAAAATGAAATTAAAAAAAGACATTCAGAAAAATTTGAAACTAATCACTGCAGGTGAATGGAGATTAAAAATTAATTTTCACTTTGATATATTGACTACTCAACATCCTAATGATTTTCTTAGCAGACTCACATGTATCCAGAACAAATTCTTTGGAATATGTAAAAACGGGTCTTGTTTACGACTGGAACGTGAAACTGGGCCAACGTCGATCGGAACTCGATTTCGAAGTTTCAAAGCTGAGGAGGAATTCCAACTGGGGAAACTGCACTTGCTACTACGTGTTATACTACATCATTTTATATACATATGTATTAGGTTAGGTTAGGTAGAACGTCGGAGAAGCGAATAGCAGTACCAGCACCAGCAGATAATAAGTCCTGGTTGATTTCTCGAAGCACGAACTTACTTTTTGGAATTTATTTTTCGTGTACTAAACCGTGGTGACGCCGTCGGGATTCCTTTGATTTACCGGTGGAAGTCGCATTTGCTGGCCCGTGATCAAAATTCATTTTTACGCAATATCGCGGAGAGCATAGGCACCGCCTAACCTAACCTATGACAAGTAACAATCTAACCTCACTTAAAACTGAAACTACCAGAGACTCTATATATAAGTTAATCTAGGATTTTTCACTTGGGTTATTCAGGTATAACTGGAGAAATAGTGCTCTGGATTATTTGAAGTTTTTAATCACGCGATATGAAAATATGAGCAGTGGGCAAACTGAGTCGCTATTGTTGAAATTCTAATAATAATAGGTCTTGTAACAATAGTAGGAATCTTTTTTTTCACTGTGGTCATCGTGTGTCTTTGATGAGTTTTATTGCTTCGAAGGACGTTGTGATTTTTACAAATTATTCAAATTTAGCAATTTTCAACTTTGCAACGTGACCGATTATAGATCATTTTTGACTGATTGTATCAATCACTCAGCGACCAGTTGTAAATATTATTTCAACTCAGCCTGAAATCCTCTGGATAACGACGATAAGCAGGAACGTAATTAAATGAAAACGCCCGTGGACCGGCGCCGGGACGAGCTGACTCATGAAACTGGGTTAATTGAGACGGAATAAATTGCTGCTTGTAAAAACGATTCAGGATCCAGGATCGCTGAGAGGGATCCCAACTTCGTTCTGTTCAATACGCTAAATGTCTAATGGCGGACAGGATATATGAGGTTTCAGACAGTTCGCGGTAAGAAATGTAAAACTTTTTAAATAAATACGTCACGATCTAAATAAGTCACATTGACGTGAAATCATGGTAGAAAATGATATATTTTATTTTACGATAATGTAAATTTTGAAAAAAAATATCATTACAATAAATAATTTTTAACAAATTGTATGGTCCTCGTCCTTTTTATTGTTTTTATAACACACAATGACGGGACTGTATCGAAATGTAAATTTTTGTTGAATCTAAAAATTTCGCGGTACAAACAGACAATCGGTATTCCAAAAATAACCTGGTTTATTGGAATAATAATTCATGGGGAGTCGGCAGACTTAGGCGTCCCAACGTACGAGACCGGCGAGATAATTATAGTCCCCTTGTCCCATCTACTTACCGCTCCGCTCTCCAATACTATTGAAACACCCTATGTGTTCCTTTTTATGCTTCACAGACACGTGATTCCACCCCCGCGAGCGCCGTCGCATTCTCGAAATACCGTTAGTGCAACCAGACAAAAAAATAAAATCAGTCACTCTTAAGTCGATTTGATAGAAGCCATCTTGAAAATACTCTTAAACAATGTTTTGTTCTTGACAGATCACAAGCATCACTGCCGAAAATATTATGATAAAAGAATTAATTGTAATTAAATATGTTGTTTTGATTTATAACTAATACAGGACTATTTATTGAAATAAAACTTTTAAATCTCAATCGCGATTCGAAAGCAAGTCTTTTTTTTAATTAGGAAGTAAAGTAAAATATAAATTTTCAAAATACTCAATATTTCATTTTTCGTTATTTGTTACTTGCTATGCTGTAGCCTTATGGCGGACCAAATGAATTTATTTATATCTTCAACTCTGTATATGTATATAGCAAAATCAAAGTTGACGATATTATATTTCGCAGTAGCGTGTTTTGGTATCTGGAACCGATAAAAGAAATCTCATTCGTTCCGGATACGAGGGCGGAGTCATGTGGAAAGCAGCAGTATCATAGTCCTGAACGGTTTGAAATAGCCGTCTGCCCCTTCTTTCGAACACGCTGTCTAAAAACTACTATATTCCCCTAACATATAACGTAGATATAGGGAACGAGAGTGTTTTCCTACCGATTCCTATGGAGACCCTATGTTATTTTACTCGCTATAGTTTTACAGATATTCAGAAAGGATTATACGATTGGATAGTGGAGCGACGGTCGTACGACTCGTATAGATTATAGTCAAGGATTACTTTACGAAAATCAGCGCTTAGAGGGATACTTTTGGAGAAGTGGTGGGGGGTTGGGGGGGGGGTGCCATGAGAGAGTGGAGAGGGGGAAAAAGATTCTTCAGAAACTTATAAAAGTTACCTGCCACGGCTGGAATGACTAGTGGAAGACACTCGCAGTTCTAAGTGCCAAGTACCGGAGTAACAGAATGGTTTGTTTTATTTTTTACTCTTTTACTTTTTTAACGTGAATCCTACAGTGCTTTATTTCATTAAATAAAACAGCAGTACAGTTAGACTTTTACAACTGTCTTATTTCTGTTTCTTTTTTCAGGACGAGGAACAAGTTCAGAGTAAGTATAAGACTATTGATGACAATTATCGGTGATTTGAAATTCTTATTTGATTTATCAATTTATCGATTGGAAATTGGTAAGAAAAGCTAGAAAAAATGTATACCTTGTAATTGATAAATTTCTTTTTTTTTTTACGGTATACTGTATACATATATTTATCAGTATATGTTACATATCATTGTGGTTATATTAGACACTGTATATAAAGGATATTTAGTCAAATCTTATGAAAGAAATTATTGGCAAAGTAATATTTAATTTAATTTATGGGTATTAATATTACATAATCCTAACCCCTAAATAATCTGACGGTAGTCACATTTTTAAAAGTTTGAGGTCCATGTTATTGTGATTACGTGTATGTTTTCTATGGATTTTTATTTTCAGTGCTCAGACGAGCATTCTCCATGTTCGATTCGACAAAATCGGGTAAGATCGAGAAAGAGAAGGTCAGGACAATTCTGAACACTCTTGGTCACGCTTTTGACGATCACGAGCTTGAAGTTCTGCTCGAACAGGAAGATGAAGACGGTATGAATATATGTATGGATATAAATGTTTTCTAAATAATTATTTTCCCCTTTCAATCCTCTGTTTTCATTTGACTTCTTGCTTGCCTGGCCTACCTAACTGTCATTGTCGAGGGGTAAGCCGATCGATCCTTCGATTGGCAAACTTTGTGAAATAATTCAGGAGAGAACAGCGAAATGACTATAGTCTAGAAAATGTACGTAGGCAATAATGGTTATGAAAAAAATACGGATAAAAATGTCCAAAACTTCTATCATTGATATCAGCAACGTATTTTTGAGGCAAATTCGAAAGATTGCTAATCCTAGTCATAGTGACGTTATTATCGGTCGAGGTGCAAAATTCCAAAGGAAAAATTGGTTTGCAGTCACGATATTACGAAGATATCGCCGACTTTATGCTGGCAGTTGTAAATGCTCCGGTTTCTGACGTATTGCGAAAAGAGTTGGGTCGACTTTGTGCATTCACTCTTCTCAAAAGCTTTATCAGGAGTCTTGTCAGTAGCCGTTGGAGCTTTTCTTTACGAACTGACTTTTGAGTATTTTCGTTTTTCTTAGTGAGTCTGTGTATTTCGTCTCACAGGACTGCCCTAGACTGATGACGGTTCTGAACAAAATGGATGCTACGTGAGCTAACCCTTAGTTACTATTATTATTGTTCCTCTTGGTAGATTCCGCTTATGCTACCGTTATTATCAAAAGACACAAAGATTTTGTTTTTGATCTTTTAAAATTTATCTTAAAACCTCTTCACTTGTAATAAATATCTTTTGGATTTTTAAATTATTTTTTTTAAATAGTTGATAATAAGCAACATTGACCATTGAGTCTTTTGAAATTTTTTAAATAAAATGTAGAATGCTCTTTTAAAAATATATATATGTCAATGTGATGTGCAAAGGGTTGTTTAATGTGTGTATTATCGTTAGATGATGCTGTTATATGTAAAATGGACTAATACGCAAACTGTCTGTCCTTTCCCTGTCAACTCAAACAATTACTCAAAAGCCGTAATGCAAATATTCCTGAGTTCTAATCCTAAATAAATTATAATCCAATAACCCTTGCGGTACTCAATACTCAACAATATCCTTATTCCCATAAGCGATGTAATAAACGACCCTTCCTCAATGTAACCCAAACTTCTAAAATAAATTGAGAATTAGCATACTTCATTTCCATAAACAGGAAGTGGACGTCTGAATTTCGACTCGTTTTACCGCGTCGCCAGTCACTTCCAGGAGGAAGACGACGAAGCCCTGCAGAAGGAACTCAAAGAGGCCTTCAGGCTCTATGACAAAGAAGGCAATGGCTACATCCCAACCAGTTCCCTACGTGAGATCTTGGCCGCTCTTGATGATCAAATCACACCTGATCAGATGGACGGTATGATTGCTGAGATCGATACCGACGGTTCTGGAACAGTTGACTTCGACGGTAAAAAAAATTTATTAAAAAAACTTTCTTAGCATATTACACTCATTTACCCCACATTATGATATCTACGTTATTTTCTTATATAAATTATCCTCTACGACAAAAGCTCTCGATTACGCTGATATACGCAATGAAATGAGTTCGCGTAGAGATTTAATTATGACTGGCTTTGTGTCGTCGGAGGCCTTTGAAAAGGCTTGATTAAACCTGGACATCTTAATATTGGCTCCCCCACTTCAAGGGATACGTCTATTCAAAAGAGACGAGCCACTTATATACCTATTGCTCGTCTTCGCGAAGATCCCCCACCCTCTCCTAAGATGAAGGCTCTTTCATATATAGATATGGTCGGCCATACTTTCATCTTCGCGGATCGATCGGTTCTGAAATTATAAACTGTCGTATGTTTAGTACCAATACATTGCGGTCGTCATTGTCGACTGTACCTTGCGTTTCTGAACCCATGATCTTTTGTAAGACTTCTTAAGAGAAATTGGATTAGAAATGCTTTCACGAGAAAGTAATTTTGTAATGCGATTTTCTCCAAATATTGTATTTCCGTACTTGGCTTTTTTCGCTCATTTTTTACACGTCTGCGCAAAGAAATTTCATAATTATTACTTAATTTAGAGCAGAGTTCAGAAAGTGGAACTTTTTACGAATATTACAGTCAATTGTCGCTTATACAGTATACACTTGTTATGTACGATATAGACACACAGTGTGCATGGATGCGTAATTTAAAAATGGAATGCTCGTTTTCTTCTGTTTACAGAGTTCATGGAAATGATGACTGGCGACTAAATGCAGCAGTCATGGGATACTCAGAATATTAAGGATGATTTCAAAAATATACGCCAGCGACCACATATTCATATGATCCTTGTATCCTGTATCAACACAATGTATCGTGTATTCAAAAACAATGAAGTCAGGACAATAAATTATTACCAGTTTCTATAATACGTAAATTCACGAAGTATATTATACATAATATATAATTTTCATTTTTCTGTCCATTACGGGTGGTTAGGAAAAAGAATTATGTTCTTTTTCCATGAAATCATGCAATATTTTCATCAAGGCGAAAGACTCGTTTGACTAATGAGCATCCTATTTGCACTTTGGCTGCACCGCAATGTTTTTTTTTTTGAGTTTTCAAGTCTCTTTTTCTGGTTTTATTCTTTTTCCATCAGACTCAAATAACCGTCAGCTGTAGCAACCTCTCTTTGTTTATCTTAAACGATATAGGAAAAGTTGATAGGGAGTGAATCCACCCTATAAAAATGACATTTAAATATTCATCGTCAGGGATGTAGGCAGAGGCCAGGTAACTTTGTAACCCCCTGTGACATCTACTCACATACCCTACCTTTCCACCATAAAATTTCCGAGGGGTGCGAAAAGCTTAGCATGTATAGCGAACGAGTAGGCCAATGGGGGCGGGTGTGAGTGTAGGTAGAAATGCAAGCGACGGTATTCGAGGGTTTGAGGGCTAATGGCCTGTCTACTCGTCGCTCTGCTCCGCTTACGTTGGCTATGCTCGCGCAAGCAAATTACGAACCCACCATCGCTCACCTAAACTCCATTATGCCACCGAGGGGGTGGTTTGTTTTTCCATTGCATCGCAAACTGCCGTTGGCTTTCCTGTCCGTCATTTACGTGTACCGTGTGACGCAATAAAAAGAGATTACGACACGGATCAAAGATTCTCACGTGACTAGATACTATTTTTAGAGATAACTAAGGACGTTGCTATTTTTACAATAACAAAGAACCAATTGTAGTCAAGTTATTAAAAAATCAATAAAATATTACCGACCGTTAGTGGTCTGTTATTTTTACTAAACAAAATTCATAACTGTTATTTTTCAAACAATTCGTCATTCTATCGATCCCCATATGTATGTATCTATGAATTTAAAAATAATGTTGATGTCCACTAAACTGAAATTTCGTCTAATTTTTTTCCTTGTAAATTCTTTTTTTTTTTAATACAACGCTAGAAGATTGTGAGGTACCGAGTGGCAGGGGATGTGGAGTATGATGGAACGTTATTAGAGAATCAGCAGGACGAGGTGTTCGTTATGGTACAAGAGGCATACTCGAATTCAGTGCAAGTTGTACCTAAATCCTTTAAGACGCGATATGGACCAAAGGACGTCGGAGCTTGGAGGTTAATGGGCTACTGGTATAAGATCCCGATCTGTGGTTTAAGCGCTGGAGAAATTAATTGGGCTTGTATCGGATATCCATACCTATATGGTAAAGCAGCAAGTGCCATTCGCTCGATATATACGTATCCACTTGCTGTCAGAGGAGAACCCGAGCAGGCATCGCAGTTTACAGTTTATATACGGGAGCCGTAAATCAGCTGAAATTATCGGTCGCGTATAGTGGACTCCAGTTTATCCGAAATAAACGGGCCAAATCCTTCCGGGTAATAGATTTCTCGAATAACGGATTGCATCACGTAAAATGGTATAAACGACGGAAAGTATATCACTTATTGGTTTCCATTTTAACATTTATATATAAATTGGCTCGTTAAATGTTTTATCCAAATTTTGATTGTCCTCGGTATAAAAATTCATTACAGCCTTGACCGCTATATACTTTTATATTTAGGAATAATGTTAATCAGGTTTTATGATATTATCTAATTAAAAAAAAAACCACTAATTGAATTCACCTCATTTATTTTATATTATATTTTTCTTTCAAGCTTCAAAAAATTAATTATTAGCTTACACGCCCATGCATACATATAGTGTTGCTTGGAGTGTACACGATTTCATCCCGTTACAACCCTTAAATTATTGGGCAGTTTATTTCGACCAGTAAACATCTTATACGCGTATCCTCGTAGCCATGCAGACTCGCGCTAAGCAGTTTTATTGGCGCCTCACTGCGAAGCGCTTGTGACCGCCCACAAAATCTTCTTTAAGTGTTTGCGACGGGACCCAGAAACCGCTTTGGGAAGGATCAATAAGGGGTGCCGCCGCTGCAACTACCCTTGAAAGGTACCGTCAAGCAGATGATGAGAAATGCAACAACGCGGCTGAGCCCAGGAAAACTTTATCGCGTATTTATGGCAATAGGGGTGTGGTGTCTTTCAAGACAATACAGACATATTGTAATATAGACGTCTTGAAAAATCTGAGGGACGAAGAAATAGTCAAAAACGTCTGCCACGAAACTCGCGAATTCAGAGTACACTTCATCCCCGAATTTGACGAACCGAAAAACATTTAAAAAAAGTACCAAAGAAACATATTTTCAAACATTTCCCCTTTTTCGAATCGCCAGACGGTTTTACATATTATTTATACGATTATTGATGTGACCTGATTCGCGAACACACATGATGAAATATCAAGTTGCCATTTGATAAAACTCGAGATACAATTCAATACGATTCCCATTGTGCCTTGTTTCCGAGTAGCGAAGGTGGCGGTAGTGACGAGGATGTTAGATATATAGCTATTCGACGAGAAGAAAAGGAAGAAAAAGAAAAAGTGGAAGCAGCGACACGAAAAGACAGATAAAAAAAGCTGTATAAAGGACAAAGATTTGTGAGAAGAATGTGAATAGTTGACTGACAAATGGCGACCACTTTAAAAAGATGCAACGACAGTCCGTGGATTTCAAGAATGCCAGTCCACTCATAGGTAATTGCGAGGATAGGAAGCGAGGATGAGCAGTTCAGTAGATTAATAATTAAAGCAACCACTGAACGAAGGTACACCTGGGGCATCGATCGACAACCTCACCAGACAACAGGCGCTGCGACGCGTCACTAACCCGGGGTCACCCTCTGTTGGTCCTCGGTGGACAGAGGGGTTGCATTTATACCCGACTAACTACCTTGCATGAGAACTCTCTGAATGAGGCTCCCAAGACGCCATTCATGACTCGAGGGGACTTGTTCTCAACGTGCTGAATTCCACGTGACAGCTGATTGTCCATTTATGGTTTCATTATTGTAAGTAGCAATTAACGTCTTCGTTAAAAGTCGGGTTACCACGAATCATCTCGCCCCTCGAGCTTCAGACAAATTACTGGCAAGTACCTTGCGGCACGGAGCTTTTTCAAAGCTCGACTTGCCGTGAAAGAGATATGTGTCTTGGAGGTGTTTATCCGAGATAACGGACCGTATTCATCCATGTGGTAGTGAGGTTAGGTTAGGTTAGGAAGTATTAGGTTAGAATCACGTACCCCAGGCGATGGTAATTATTGGATATTACGAACCGTAACGAGACTCTTACTTATCTACAAGCAATATTTATATCCATATAGTTTCATCTCGGAATCATTAGAATAAAATAGCGGAAGTGCGTACTTACTAATTATTTTTTCGAAAAAAATTCTCGCTCTATACTCAATAGCGATTTCTCGTATCAAATTAAACAGCACAAAGAGTTTATTGTGAGATTGAAGAAACAGTAGAACAAGAAACAAAGAAGTCAGACGAAACAGTGGGTAAAAATCATCTAGATCATTCAAGACAGTCTAAATGTAAAACCATGCAAAGTAAGTGTTCGTATCATTACGTTTTTCTCGTGCATGCCCCATTCATCATTCACCTATAATATGGTGTCGTGCAAGTGTTATGTATAGTATACGTATATGTAGCTATATACATAAATCATTATTTTCTATACGGGAAGGGAGGGGATGCACTCAGTATTCAATGATAAAAATCATAAATTTCATCACTCGTGACTAAATACATATCTAATATACTATCATTGATTCAACTGACGTTATTTATGATTATCAAGTAACATAAACGCGTGTATGAATGATTTTGGAAAAAAATCAATTATTCTAATACCTAATATACAATGTATATGCACGTACGATGCAGTGTCTAGCTTCTTCTAGATATATTTAATCTATCGCGCTAACGTAGCTAGCTCTAATTCTAGCTATGTGGATTATGTCATCTTTGGTAAGTACCTGGCTCAGGCTTCTAAAGCTACTTGTACTGGCGCTGCGGGCCTGCGAACACAAGTATAACGTACGGTCACCAATCGCCATAGACTGCAGTCAGTGGGTAAGTAGGTACAGATAGATAGATAAACAGATAGACTAAATATAGCTATGTAACAAAAGATACAGGTTAAGGCACAAGTAGCATGTACAATTATAATAGTATAGGTAGTCCAAGTAGTGGACGGTATGAGGGAGAGAAAAAATGTGTATACATATACATATATGTATATAGCGACGGCGTGGATGTCCAGTTAGCTGTTATACCTACGTGTATACATATATAGCACAAGTGTACATACGTAGGACATTGCGCAATGAAAATGAGACATCACGTGTGGTCGCTACTCGCTGTTAAATGGACATGTGCATCGGCTATAAAATGAAATGTAATACGTGGTACGCTATTGTGGAATAATATTACTTTTTGTTGCTTCTTTTTGTCTCGTTCTACTCATTTCTCACTTTGATTGTAATGTTCCTGTAGTTTTGCTTGCTTTCTCTTGTTGTGGCCTTTTTCTCGTGGGCTTTTAGAGGCAAAATTGTGACATGCTTGTAGGATTTTTCGAAGCGTACACGTACGTCAACGTGTTAGGTACAGTACGATGAGAAAACAATGGTAACGCTTTAATACTTTAAAGATGTTTGAGTTGCAGCTGGTGTCACCTTTTTTTTTGCAACGTACTGTACCTTTATCGTACGTGAAAAATATTGCAATTTTTAATCCGCCCGGAGCACAACTATATACAGCTACACATTTAACACACATGGTACGTGACGCATTGGAGTCTCTATGGCCAGATTTCACAGAGTATGTATACATATATACACTGATAAACAAGATATAGCGAGACAGAAAAAGTTTAGAGGATATAAAAAACAGATGGAGTGGGAGATTGAGGATCGACGAGAAAAATTCTTTTTGCGCTTGGGTCTTAAGGGCTCTTGGCAATGTAACTGCGAATCGATTAATACTGATTGGATGGAAGAGGAAAACTAAAATAAATTTAAAAAAAACATAAGAAATACTGAAATGAGTGTGACGTTTTCCGGATTGTCAAGTATCGCCCGACCATTTGTCGCCGGTTAAAGTTCGTCGGCTCGTTTGTCAAAGCTGCCATCAAGTGAGGCATTTTGTTGTCGACGGCTGCGACAGTGGCTCGCTCTGCATTCGATTTGCACAAAACGAACGATGCATTAAAGCGTAAAGTGGTGAATGTTGGTGAGAATTATTGGCGCACTTAATTATTAAATTAACGATTGTTTGCTCGTGCCAATAAGACGCAACGAGCTGTAAAAATGTCATGTACCTAGAAACAATAGTGGATTAACAAACTATGAAAAACAATGCAAGTTTTTATTACTATTATCGAATATGTGAATTTTAATTTTCTGATTATCATCACCGTCTATAAAAAGAGCGATAAAAATAATCCTGTAATTAATCCGGTAATAATGTTCCCATACGTTTTCTCGTCGTTCAGTAATCCCTGATATCTCTAGAAATAATGGATTAATGATAAATCATTATGCACCTTCGTCCATATCACAAACCCACGTGATAACTGCCCGCATGAGTCTCCAATAGAGTCTGACCCTAATAACAAAAATACATATGAATAACAAAACGTAATTTTTCGGATGATTAATTATGCCATTAAAAAAGAGGTAATAAATTCCTCAAGTAGTCACGTAGGTCTGATTTCAGAATAATCACAAAAATATTAAGCACCACCGGTAAGTTACAAGGGCGACAAAAGATGGGCGACTCAAAACCGCGAAATTTGCAGGTTCCTAATTTCATCCACCCTCCTAGAAATCTTCCTAAGGGAAGGATTCGTTACACCAAGTGCTTCAGGGAATGTCCAGAAGCTTCGGAAGCGAGAAATAGAAGTGAAGTTGAGAATAGAAAGCGAACAAATAGAAGGAAGACAATGAATAGCAGTAACTGACTCTTTTCACAGATACAAGAGTCTTTCCTTTGGATTCAATTTCCATCTTAATTGACGTAGACTTTATCTCATGAAAGTGCACATACTTTGAAAATTATTATTAACGTGAGAGCTTACTCCAAGGAACGTGGCAAGTAATATTAACCGGTACCAACAATCATAACTATCTTGTTAAATGGCACTCTGTGACGTCATACACGGAGATAAAATCTGTAAACATTCATGGAACTATTTAAGTTGTCAATACGATTCTAATTTTATATTCAGTCTCGGGTCGGCTATGTCATGGATCCCTCTATACAATGGGTAACGGATCACAACTATTTTTTTATTAATGTAGGATTTGTCTAATGTCTTTTATGCTCGTGCAACGGCCTAGCTATCTTTAAAATTGCCTTTATACTGTACCTACCCACCAACACCCCTTTAACTTTTTCGCTGCGAAAACCGAATAAGGTAGCAAAATATTTTCTACAGCTTGTTCTTAATAGGGTCCAACTACTTTCATGAGAGATGCCTATTTCAGTAGCTCATTAAAATTTACGCCAAGCCTATTCTACACGGAGAAAAAATTGTGGCAGCGTTTCTTTGAAATATATAGTAGCCAGCAGCAGATTGCACAGTAAGAGAGACTTATTCAAAAAATGTGGGAAACGTTTTTATACTGTATAAGCAAATGAAATGAAATAAATAGAGCTGACCGAAATAATAGAGAATTTCACATTGTGTACGAGATAGCAATCATCAGTGTGGACTTCATGCCAACCTAACGAAGAGTAAACGTTAATATACAGTCTCGGAGAGACTGCGTCTCAGTACGATACTCCTCAGCGTACTACTGTATAGAGTATTAATGATACAATAAAAGCACTGTATAGAGATTACGTATAAGGATTCTTTCTCATATGATACTGCAGCAACCGTAATGCAGGGAGGTAGCTATTTATGGATTACCAATTAATAAGTAATGTTAAGTAGTAAAATGAAACACCTAGCTATGTTCGTAATGGATGAAGTAACTAATTCAGTCCTTGAACTATAAAATATCGTGGGTTACAGCGAAGAAAATAAATGAATATCAAACGAACAATGTTTTTTTATTTACATATAAATGCCTTACATCAAGTTTACACCCATAACTTTATGATATAAATTAAACCATCGCTTAAAGTATTCTGATAGATAATAATAACATGTTCGTAAAATTTTTTCAAAAATTCACCCATCCCATATGCAGTGAATTCGTTCACTACGTCTGACAGGTACGATAGTTATAGACGTTGCATTCATGAAATATGAATACTTTCTTATTTCGAAAAGTTCTATTTTGACCTCTAGATAGTTACTGAAATACACACATGAAGGCGTCATTACAGTCTGAGAAACTGTATAATTCTTCGGACTATACGCGATTGTGCTAACTGCAAGAATATTCATGACCTGCAGGACATCTCAAGGAACACTGACCTTACGCATTAAGACTTTTGGGTTTCGGCCATTGACGAAAACAAAGCGAGAGGGTAGCCACCCAGCGAGTGAGCAACAGGCAATCCGCATGAGTGTCGAACACTACTTTTTGTAAAATCTGCTGTGAAAATTCAATTTGAGAGAAAAATAATAGTATACTGCCGCGACGTGTAGTGGGGTTCCTGTCGCTTAGAATATGGTTGTGTGTAAATGCAGAGAGTATATTAAATAAAATAACAAGTCGTGATATCTGATTACTACGCTAGTATAGTTAAGTTAGAACTGTAAAGTTATAAAAAATTTAGCGCACTAATGCGGTTAAGTGAAAGATAGTGTTGAAGATACAGATATTAGAGATATGAGATATGCTTAAAGCAGTTACCGCTGTACCTAATAAAGTTCATGCTGATATATTTATAATATATAAGAATATATGTATAGCTCAGACGCGTATAGCCCGAAATAAATTTCTGTTCCTATGCCAATCCGTGTAAAATAATTTGATCTGGGATGGATCAATCTCAGATTTATTCCATTTGAAGTACAGCAACTGAGGGTCATTTGCACTCTATAAAGACTTCTCGCAGAGTTATAATTTAAGTGTAGGATCAGTCTTCATAGATTTATGATAGACTTTTGATATGCATTATCTCTAGATTTCTGCCATTTTTTCTTTTTTTTTCAGGATAATACATATCAAAAGTTTATCATGTATCTATGTACACTGATCCTGTACCTAATCATATGTAACTCTGTGAGAAGTCTTTATAGAGTGCAAATGACTCTCAGTTGTTGTACACAAATCGAGTAGATCTAGGATGGACCTATCTCAGATTAAATTATTTCTACACGGGCAATACGTGAATAATTATCAGAAAATTCTTTTCTTGTATGTGTATAACTATATGTATATGCAGGATAGATATGCCTACTTTGAATTTTCAGGAAACCAAATCGTGATTAATGTTATGGTTGTTATTCAATAAGGAAGACGCTGTGAGTAAAAAAATAACGTCCCATAAAAAACCAATAAATAATAGACAAGCTATTAATAGTGTAAACACGTATATATATTTGTACGATACCTAATTTTTTAATAGGGTGATCAAACGGTAATTTCTACACAAGTTAAGATATCGCGTTAATTCGATATCGCTATTAACCCTTATAAAAGGTATTCAATTTTTTTTACTTAACGTAATACCGTGGATATTTACTACACGAAGAAAATTAGTTTCTTTTGGTATACTTAGTGGGGATGAAGTTCGAAAGAGCGATGTCTAAACGTCGACCCATATCTCACCCTCATCAAAAAAGAATCACCTTTAATGATTTTTATCCTATGGATGGCAAGCAATGAAATTTAAAGTAAGAAAACCAGATAGTATTTTGCCATAACGTAACTAAGAGTAGGCGTAGGTATATTTCTGAAAACAAAATTGATATGAGTAATAATTATCGGCCACTACTACGAAACAACTAATACATACACATATACATATACATTAATAAAGTATATTTTGGGGACGGTTTGAGTAATACAGCCGCTAGTTCGAGAACAATTATTGTATAGTTTCGGGTCGGATCTCA